TTTTTTTTTTTTTTTTTTTTTTTTTTTTTTTTTTTTTTTTTTTTTTTTTATGGGATTCTGTAAGCAACAAAAAAAAAAATTAAAACTTCTTGGACCGAAGGGACAACTTATGCATTTGATTAGCTTTTAGGTAGGGGACACCATTGAAACTTCTTGGACCGAAACATCTTGCAATACAATCTAGAAAGGACAAAAATTAAAAGAGAAGGTATGGCACATGGCCTCTCCTCTGCCCAAAACTTGAGACAATCTGTCAAAGTTAGTGTGGAATATTCCATATTTTGACCCCTAACAAAACTGAATATTTTGTTTCTTCCTTGAAATAGTGAATGAATCAACAAGTTTAAAGAGAAGAACCAAAACAGACCTCGCTACCAATACTTTCCTTCAACTTTACACATAATATGTAATAATAAAAAATTTTGATTACAGTGTAAACTACATGGCAACACTCCAGCTGATCTTTGGGAGATTACTCCGAGATCTTACTTCATTGATCACACTTTGAAAGCCATGTCTCTCAGCATCGCTGAACCTCTAATTGGTTGCAGTGTCAGAACTTAAGTCTGGATCAGAGTACAATGAAGGTAGAAATTCCGTAGCTCCCAAATATAACCTATCTTTATTTCGTAAGGTAAAAGTTGAATACGTGAATGGCAGATTGAACTTCCAGGTTCTAAGATTTAGACTACCAATGGTTGGAGAATATGTTATGTACAAGTAGCTGGACAGCACTGACCTCGAAGAAGCAAACTTGCCTCCAGAGTCTGATTTGTAGACAGGACTGTATGCCAGCCACAGACGTGTAGCACATATGAGAAAGAGCATCCGAGTGAAGTATCTAGGCTGCACTAATTGAAGAAATAGGAAGATTGCAGGACATCCTTGAGATCAAAGTCTCCCCGATCGGGTAAGGGCGGAAACTTTAAAGTGGGGAAGGACTTTTGGAAATTTTCCAGTAACTGTAAAGGCAAAAACCGTTCAAGTTGTAAGTTAAAGAAATTCCAGGACAGAAGAAGACAACTAGATCTTTGTAGCTACAGGATAGTACAGTCAATGTGTTCTATTTTGTCAGAAGAGGAGTATCTTTTGTCTCCAATAACCAGGATAAGTTAACCGATCAAGTACACATGGGGCGAGATACTTACATTCTCCAGAATAGGAGCCTCGTATAGCTCAACAAATTTCTCCCTTAGTAGCCTGTTCATTACGTCAACATCGCATGCATGGGTCCAATATGAATCATGGACACCTGTAATCAAACATGGTAAGAAGAGATATGGCCACGATTGAACACTTGAGAATTCACATAAGTTCACTGAGATAAAGGACCCAATCAATAGAGAAGTAAAAGAAAAATGAAGTGAACCTGCAAAGTTAAGGCCTGCCCTTCTGCAGGCGACAGCAGTCATCATCATATGAGAACCATCAAGGGAGTGTACAAAATTTGGAGGAAAAGCTGTTTTCTGACGCTTAGCCATGACCTACAGAAAATAATACGAATTATCCGGCTAGTAAACATATCATGCAACCAATGAATTGCACTACTGCATACAGTGACCCTTCTCAAGAGAGTTAATAAACTTGAAGCGTCCCAATTTCAAAAGGTTTTTAAACACATCGAGTCTACTCAATAATTCCCGATTTGGTTGGCCTTACCTTGTCAGTTTCTCGTTGTAGAGTCAACATTTGCAAGGAAGTCTTGATCTGCAATAAGTCAATTACAGTTTCAGTTTGTTGGAGAAGTCCAAATCATTGTTAGCTTAAATTTCACAAATTTATTAGAACTTTACAAAATGTCTTCCTAGTTGCCGGTAAGGTTGTACGACTGGCAGTCCAAGAGGAGTTGTCCATCGAACTGGCTGATTTTCTGAAGCTATTACCTGTTGAAAATTAAATGTGTGAAAAGCTACACCTTAGTCGTGTGACAAAAAGACAGAGGAACGCTTGCTGAAATGCACATAATATCAGATTTCTATACTTAACTTAGATAAGAAACGTAACATTGCTAAAATAACCCACTCCTCAAGATGTTATAAAATCAAATTATTTGAATTACCTACGGCTAAGAAGAGGGAAGATGAGTCTGAAAATTGAAGAAATATGGAGGAGATCACAACCCTTGTAGTTGTATTTCAAAATTAAGATCTTTGATCGAAGACAATATTAAGCTCAATGCGGGTTTGGGTAAAGGGTGAGATTCTAGGAAATATGGCTGGTCGCCCAACCATTGATGTTAAAATTTCTCAATCTCTACGTTGTGGCTCTATGTCGTGGTAGGGGGTACGTGAGAAATTGAAACGAAATAGAGGAAAATCTTGACTGGAAGAATTTAATAGGACAGAAAACTGAGGAGTTGGGAGATTTATTGAGTGTGCTTTACGAAATGGTGAAGGTGGATGGTTGATGCATGAAGGCTGTTTTCTTCTAAACCTCTATTTTTTAAGATGGTAAGATCTGATAGGAAGACTATCCAGTTCACTTATGCTTGGAGAAAACCAAATGAGCCCAAGTAATGTAAATGATGTTGAAAGGAGTGAGTAAGTAAAGACTCCGTAAGTCCCATGTGGGTGCATTTTTATGAGGGCTTCAGCGTGAAGGTTTCACCAATCAATGAAACAAAATTTACAAGAGGGGCACTAACGAAGAATTCCCACTTCAAGCTAGTGATACTACGAACTTTATCAAAATAACCAAAATAATGACAATATCACTAATTAAGGACCGCACCTTTGCACATTCACCAAGCCAGCTCATGATACTTCTTGCTGCTTCAAACATTTCCCCCAAGGCAGTCAAGGTAGTCTGCACGATAAGTCTTCGAATCAGCAGCACGTTCATTTCAAAATAATAATAATTGTAGTAACACATTTTTCTTGTAAATATAAAAGAAAAAGTTGTGTAAAAAAAAAAGAAACAGAACTATAATATGCATGCAAATAGGCATAAATGTGCTACATTTTTCTCACAAGCAAATGGCAGTTTATTGACTCACTTTAGCTGCATAGCAAGAAGCTGCAAATAATTGTGAATCATCGGCAATGGATGCTCGTTCTTTCAACCTTTTCTTAATCTGATCCCGTGCACCCATATACGTGACACCATACACGGATGTCATGACTGTTTGTTTCACCAGTTTACGATCCACCTAATTGAAGTCACAAATATGAATCCATTAGAGGAAAAACATACAAGCAGCTATTAGAAACAGTTCTATAAAAAATTATTCTCATAGAATTATTAGTAACCAGACCTGATTGATTAAAAGTCTAGCATGCAACGCATTTGGATTAGTTGCAGGATCTTTCTCTGCATCACTTCGTATTATGTCAAGAACTCTGCACCCAGAAAAATATACAAATTAAAAAAGAAACTAGATCCCCTCCGAACGCCAAAAATATGCTCTAAAACACAAGTCATTTGCAAACTTTTATACCGAAAGCATGGAGAATACTGTCTAAATAGGCATTCTTCCTTTCATACTAGTTGGTAAACGAAGCTTCCAAAGTTGAATGCAGAGAGCAGAGTCACTTAAATTTTATCTAAAAAATATCACTTGCATTGAGCATACTTGCAATTTCTATAGTTCGTGGAAAGCATATATTAGCTCCCTTATCATAATGACCAGGCTTCAAAATACTTTTCAGCTTATTCAAACAAACATGGCATTGACGCCTGCCGGGTTATTAAGACTCAACTTTCATATGTAAAAAACACCAAAGAGCAATTTTAAAAAAACATTAAAAAGAAAATGAGGAACACTTAAATAATCCTCCCTACAATCAAACATGCAAACAAGAGATGCAGTAACCTGGCAGCAATTCCTGAGTACACATCTGCGGGCTTATCTCCTGCTACAAGGTTAACAGCCGCTGCTCCCAACTGAAGAAAAATGACACAATATTAAATGCTAATTAAGAAACAGACCGTGTCATCTCAAAGAAGACTTTTTTTTGTAAAAATTAAGGAGTTCCTAAAAATAAAGATAGTTAAAAGAAATATTTTTAAAGTTCTTCGTATGTGTAGTACAAGAAGCGTTATTTAGATTCAGGTGCTTTTAGCTTCGAATAAGCAAGCATTGAGGTATTTTCAATCCCCAAACACGCAGAATAAGAAATAGCCAAGTAAAAATGGAAGTAGCTTCACTTCTCAGCTGACTTTGTATCTTAATCCTATCTAACTAGAGAAATTAAAAGTACCTTGTCCCTCCCGAGAGCTGCATAGTGTTGCAAGCCATTGCAGGAACCATCCTGCCAAATCATGGGGAAATAAATAAGGATAAACAAAGATATATACTGCAGAATAGCAATATGATTATGGTTTCGAAAGGGATAAAGTTGCAGAGAACAAAAATGGCATTCATAATTTGGGGACGAATTGCAAGAATAATGTAAGTAGTACCTGGTGTACAGGCATATGGGAAAGAGTTGTTTCCGGCGATGGACTTCTTAAAGCCTCTGAGAGATTAATACACACTGCCAAGCACTGAAAAGGATCCTCTGCGCCCAACCACCAACGATTTCCTTCTAGAGGCCTGTCTGCCGAATCAAAAATCTCATCCAAATGATTCTCAGTAAATGATATTCGATCCTTGTAAGATAACTTGTCCACACCACCAGCGTATAGATTTGCCAAATGTATCTTCAACCAGCGTAACCCTGACTCTCCAAGTGGCCGTCCCTCCGCAAATTCTAGAATTCCACGACACATATCAGAACCAAGATGATTCAAATGTGGATGCATTGGGTATGCACGACCTCGAAAATCTAAGTTGTGAGGATAGTAAAAGCCCTCCTCTTCTTTCATTTTCCTGGCCACCTGCTCACAATAAAAGTAAATTCAAATGTACTTGACAAGAGTATTCAAATTTAAATTCTATTCATTCAATAAGTTCTTACTGCAAGCTTAAGCTCAATGTCACACCGCTGTGAATGCCTCTCACTATTCTCTTTTTTTGCACCCTTGAGTTTCCACTTCCATTTTCGAATTTCTGCTTCATCTTCCACAGTTGGCTCCTCTGGTAGAGGAACCTGTACAAATTGAAGTTAAGGTTAAAGTTACAAAAAAAGATATAAATTTCATAAGATAGGAAAACATGCAAATAGGACCAACTAGCATTCTTCTTCTGTAACATACATCTTCCCGGTCAACCAAATCAGCAAGACGACCACCACTGGTCCATATCCTGTCAATAATGCTAAGAACTCTTTTGTTCACCCTCCACTTGGTTCTTCCAAGCGTATCAAGTGCCTAAAAATGCAAAAATTATCATATATTACGAATTCTTTCGTAACTGAAGTTCAAAAAGAAACTGCAAGATGATTTTTTTCTATGGGAAAATCTTAGGAGTTCCTTCTAAGATGGTATCGCGACTTCAAAGACAAAGCCCATGAAACATATAGTCAAATCAAAAACCTTCTTCGACAAAGATAGAGTCCAGTGATATTAATT